GGGAGGTCGGGGGTTCGACTCTTCCTGTAGGACAGCCATTCCTTCTGCGATTCGTTCATTCGTTTCAATATGAAATTGGTATTGACAGACCTATCATCAGCTTGCCCATAAGCAAATTTCGAAAGAAGGAGCCATCGACAATCTTGTTAAAGAATGATTGCTCCTGACATTTGCTACTGCTCGGGTCACTTCATTTGCTGCTGCTCGGGTTGCTGTCTCCTCATAACTTCATAGAATTACTATTCTTATCATATGTTAGTTTCCTCCTCTTACACCTGCTCTATCACTTCTACTTCTTTCATGATATTAAATATTTTCTCTCCTTCTCACTCTCTCTATCTTTTCCTTTCACTCATCCTTCTAGCAAATTAGCTACATGTCCTTCAATAAATGGCGGGTATTATGAGGCTGTACTGACGATTCTCACTCCCACCCGCATGCGCATAGTCCGGACTGTATGTTTACAGCTAAGCGATGAAACACAGAGTGCATCGAAAAATATCACCCCACTACATCTAAACGATGAAAGGCAGTTTGCACCATAAAATATCACCTTACACATGACGCCTGCGTACAATCCTGTTGGTCTATTATTTCGTCCACTTCTCGCAGAGAGCGAATATGAAGGGGATTTTGACTTTCTCATCAAAATTTTTCGCGGAAAAATAGAGTTTTGTTTTTTCAAAAAAGTTTTTTAATCAAAAAACAGTTGATACTAATTATCATTAATGTATAGGAATTTAGGTTATATCAGCATTGGCTCGTTTATATCTTGCGCCACTGAAGGAGTTCACTGAATCTGATGGATTAAAAGCAGCTTCACATTCAATTTCATATCATCAGTAAGTTCTCGTTGCTTTTATTTTAGCATTAATTATCCTCTTTTTGATAAGTTATTCCACTGTAATCTAGGATCTCGTAATTTGCATTATTTTAGCATTAATTATCCAGATAAGTTGCTTCAAGGTGATCTAGGGGTCCAGGGGAGATAATGGCGCTCAAAACATGCCAGGAACATCACAAAACGGCTAAAGCTTCACGAAATTTTGTCATACGGGAACAGTGTTTTTATTAGAAAATAAAACACAACACTTCCAGTTCAACAACTTAAACCTGACTTAGCTGATATCCAGTTTGGCGGATATCCAATTTTCTCGCGGATATCGCTTGGCGAATATCCAATTTTCGCTTGGCGGATATCCAATTTCCTCGAAAAATACCAAATATGAAAATATCGGATACCAAATATAATCCAGAACCGCTATCCTCCAGCACTTCGGCTTCACCCCAAACTCTTTTTCTAGGAACCCGGCCGCACTTCAACGCCTTTTTCCAGCATTTGCTCTAAATCCCCTAGGTCAAGACATAATTACAAAGCGTAATTGATATTCGGTCACAGAGCAAGCTGTTTTTTGAGTGTTCTCGAGAGTTTTCGACACGAAGTGCTTCTGTCGGAAGAATTTTTGGGCTGTTTAACTTTCCTGGGAGGCAAAACGAACGTCACCACACTTGTCAGAGCTTTTGATTGTCTATTTAGTCATGAAAAGAGACACTCCAAGCATCCTTCGCTCCATCGCTTTCTCGGTCAGACACTGTGCGCTTGCTCTTCAGCTTTCGTCAGCGGCTGCATTTTCGCATCCGTTGTTGAGAAAAATAGAAATTTCTTGAGCTCGAAATTACAGCATTTTGAGGTGCCAAGCTTTGATTTCTAAAATTGGTTGAAGCGGACTGATGCATCTTTGTTTCAAGTTAATCTTATATCCGTAGACCGTAAAGTACTGGAAAATTTGGAATGCTACTAAAATGCTAATGAAAATAATCAAACTGACAGCGTTAAAAGGTTGAAGCAAGACGTGGTAAAGACGTATCTTACGGCTGCATGTGTAATTTGGTTGCAGTGTAGGTCAACGAAGAAAAAAACAGTCGAATTTCAATATTTAGTGAAACCCAAAATAGCCATTTAGCTTCCTCTCACGTGAGCAAACCGGTATTTAAACGAGGTGACGTCTGTGTTTCATCCCTGAACTGTAAACACAGACGGCTGAATGGCTGCGAAATGGGGTGGGAACTTTTGCGGCTTGCTGATCTTATGTTACAGCTATTTTAAAAATAATTACAGAAAAGTGGTGGATGCATGTCCGGAAGCAATCGATTCGTTGGCCTGCGTTCTACGATATGGTTTGCTGGAGGAAAAAGACATTCTGCATCGTGATGATACAGTTCGGGCATGGTTAAAAGCACAGAAAGCAGTTTCTGCTAAAAAATATCATGAAGCCGTCACTTTTTTGAGCCGAGCATCACCAGGCAATTTGAAGTAATTTTTTTTTTGTCATTTGATCGAATCTTAAAGGTATCTGGGAATTAACCCAAGTCAGTAGCAACCGCGTGATGCAAAGTTTTCGATGGCACCTTTTTTTGAGAATTTTTTTTTTTAAAAAACAAGCTGATGACAGTTTTGACCTTTTGGCATAAGCCGGTAACAAATCGCATTCGAAACAAGTGAACAGATTACAGAGGGACGGGATTTTTGCACTGATAAAATCAAATTTTCAGTTTTTATCGTTAAACCGAGCTCACTGTTTGTTGTAATAATAAAATTAATAATAATGGTAATAGCAATAATGATAATAACGGTAACAGTGGTAATAATAATAACAATGGTAGTGATGGCAACAATAATAGTGGTGGTAATAATAATAGTAATAATAATGGTAATAATAATAATAATAATAATAATAAGTATCAATGGTAGCACGGTAACAATGTTAGTGCAATAAAAATGATGGTGCAGTAAAAATGACAGTGATAATAATAATAATAACGGTAATAGTGACAAAATTAATTATAATTACGATAATAATAGTAATAATAATTATTATTATAATCATATTAATCAAATGCCAAAGTCCCATTCGTATTTGCTTCCTCTAAGAGTTTTCGATAGCTTTCTCTAAGAGTTCTCGATAGGAAACACCCGAAAGTATTCAGGGTTGTCGAAGACTCTCCCTTTTTGAGGTTACTCGCCACTTGATGATCGGTTTGTTTTTCTGACACGCTCAAATACCAATTTACCATCAAAACGAATGAACGAATCGTAGAGGGATTTGTTGTCCTCAGTAGCGAAGTCGAATTTTCGACTTGCTCTACTGCAGCAGTGGTACTTTCACTACGTCATTATGTACTTGAATCTTGAATGACTACATGATTTTTGAATTAGTTTTTGATTTATAATTATTTCCTACGTCCCATTTTTTTGGTTTTTTTTCCGAATTTTTATTAAATTTTTTTTTTACAGGATAATGACTGAACTGGGTCGATTGCACTATTTTCTTGGCGAAAAACAAAAAGCAGCCTGTTATCTGCGACGTGTACATAATCTTGATCCTGGAAATGCCGAATGTATGGATATTCTTGCATATATTATCTCACAGGTCAGTTATTATTACTTATTACTACACATTATTATTATTATTATTATTTAATTGTTATAAATAAAGATTTAATTCTTTTTAATTCTTCAGGAGCAGCAATCACATTACAAAGATTTGGAAAATTTAGCAGCGGCACTCATGGAAAATCATGAAAGTCCTGAAGCTTGGGTAGCATATGCTTTCTTGGCAAAATGCCAAAAAAGATATGAAAAAGCATTGGGTTTCGCTGACAAGGTTAATTTTTTTTTTTTTGCTCATAAATGTGCATTAATTATCCGAGTAGCAAAAATACCAAAATCGCACAGGCTTTCAGTATGGGCATCCTATATTAAGGACGGAACTCTCCCACATCCCAAGCTTAGATTTGCCAGGCATTTCGATCCCAAGCTGCATACCTCCAGCTGGTACCCTCTGCCTGTTCGGTGTGTGTGCACCACCTCTTCGGAGTACGCCCGAGTGGTTGTTTTCTTTCTCAAAAATTACATTTGATCCTTCCTTCAGCTAAGCTGATTCTTGCATGGTTATAGCATACAAGTAATATTAAGAACTTAAATAGGGCAGGACTAGAACTAATTGTGTTTGTGTAGACGTAGAAATAAAGCTGGTGTAGGGAAAATAAGTGAGTAAGAGTTAAGACGTTTTGGTCCATTAAGTCATATACATCTTAGCTCAATACCGCGACTGAACTTCGTCAGTATGACGGTCACGGTGTTTTATAAAAATTTTAGATGTGCAAACAATGAATATTCCTAGCTAGGATTGGAAAAGGATGGGGACCTCAAATCGCGTTAAATCGTGTCTTACTTACGTTCAGGAAATCCCGTCTGGCCCGCCACATATGCGTTTTTGCATCAGACTTGAAGTAATTAGGTTAACTGCATGAATGGTTGCTTCCTCAGACCTACCTTGTGCGGTCAATACCGTAAATATCGTAAATTTTGCATAAAAGGAAACAAACATTTCCGTTGAGCGGTCTTTTTTATTTGAAAACCTAGGCTGGAATGCATCTATTTGTCTCTCTATATGTTTATAACTTAACAAATTCTAGTATTACTGAAGTTTAGGCTTGTCAGCTATCACATTATCACATACATCCA